GTTTAACAGTCTTGAGGTTAAATTGAGGTTTAAATTTTATACAAAGGGGGATACTATACAGAGCGCTTTACGGTAATTTTATCAACTCGACTAGGTTGATTTTTAAAAAACTGACTTGACTAAGTCAATTAGTATCATATCACCTCCCCGACGTTTTTAATTAATGCTCCAAGCTAGATTAAAACATACACTTTCCATATGTTTCATTTTTTTTTACGTTCGTGCTTCGGATTTATTTTTACGGGTTGATCAAAAATTTACGCATTATTATTGGCTTGTTTCTCGGAAAGATCACCGGATCCGCCAGGATTTAGCCCCGTATCGTTATTATATTAAAAATGTCGAAACTGAAGAAACGTTTCGGATTTTGATAGCATAGCGGGCTTAAATATGATTGGTTGATCTTCAAAATGTGTCACCACATATTTTCCTATATCGATATATAAAAAGATGATCATCCAACTTTAAATAGATTCGCAGCCACAGACAATAAAATTTCTTCGACTTATATAGTAGTATACATTATATTCTATATAAAGTAATTTTTGCAATTTGCTACTTCAGAATTAGAATTTTGAAAATAAAATATAACTCGATTCTGTATAGGTCTAGCAAAATTACGTAACAAGTAATAAAAGAAAAAAATGATCATTTTGTGTGCTACTAATTTTGTGAGGGTGGGGATATTTTGGCGAAGTAAAGAAAATATGCAATACCTCGATATCCAGTATGAAAATATTACCATTTGATTCGTCATGTATATAAACGAATAAATGGTGGTATTTTCATGTGATTCCGATCGCTGGATATTGCCTTGAAAATCACCATATGTTAAATCTTCGCCCCGTATATTAGATCTTCGCCATTTATATTAAATTTTGGCATACGGGAACGATATCTCGATACCCCGCGATCGAAATCACATAGAAATATTACCATTCGATTCGTCTAGATATGGCGAATCGAATGGTCGTATTTTCATGTGATTTCGATCACAGGGTATCGAGATATCGTCCCCGTATGCCAAAATCTGACATATCGCATGAAAATACTATACCACCATTCGATCGTCTAGGCATGACGAATCGAATGATAGTATTTTCATGCGATTCCGATCACTAGTTATCGAGGTATCGTTACTTCGCCACAATACTCCCTTTTACCTTATGTATATTAATTTATTATTTTATTTTATATTTTACCTGTACAGCGTCCTGTTGGTGAGAAGAAAGGCAGAATACTGTGACCTGGAGGGAAAAGATGATTTTGCGATTATGAAAAGAATGACGTTTCTGCATAAAATGACTATACCAGATATTAACAAACATTTAAATTTAGTTGGCAAAGCATTATGCAAAAACATTAGAACAAACTACATGTAATTGTTAATGCTAAAAAATTCATACCAATACCGATACGTATTTATCGCATTATTATCATGTTTATCTATCCTTTATTAAGAAAGTATGCTATTTTTATCAACCAATAGAATTTTAGCAAAATTTACAAAAATTAGCCAATCACAAAAGCCTGCTATGTTGATTTTGATAAATACAATCATTTATTGCAATAATCTTTCTAATATTGGACCATTTTATGTTGTAGAGCAGGTCTTTTGATTGAGTAAATCTTACATGTACGTACTTGTCCCATAAAAATCATTCTTAGATCGAAATTACCAATCCTGTTTTGTAAAATACTGTACGTGATAATTAATGTTAAAAGGCTGTGCCAAAGAATTTGCAACTGATTTGTTAATTATGAAAATAAATCTACTATCATGACCCATAAAAAATCTAATGAATTGAATACTATTGGTTATAATTATCTTAGAACAAGGTTTCTTCCTAATTATCATTTTGTCAGAAATTCGCTTTGGCTTTCTATTTCATGAACACAGTCACTCTCGTTACACATCGTAGATTTATTTAGTTTATTATCGTTATGGTAAAATTTGGTAATCTTTTTTTCTTATAATAAAATAAACAACTTGAAAAGTTATAGTAGAGAAATCAGAATTTTTACCATATCGAGGTTCACTGTGTACTGTTGAACGTAACTTTTCAGCTTATACGTAACAATATTATAAACAAAATTCAAGTAAAAATGTTTACATGATGTATTTTAATAAAAATGTTATTGAAAAAATGTTACTGTTTCAAGAGATTCATTAAATTGAACCTGATTTTTATGGAAAAGGATTTAAGGGTGATGTTGTTAAGTAAGATATTAATAAATCGCATAGGGGGTAGTATTCAGTATCAAAAAAATAATATTTACAGGTCCCTGATATTGCGGTTTATTTACGTATTCTGTCATCTACTAAATTTAGAATGCTTTTCCGAAAGAAAATTCCAAGATGCGCGGTAGGTAATCACTTCATTAATAAATTAATGAAACAAACAAACTAGAGAAACATCTAATGCTAATAAAGAAAAGTTCCTCGAACAATTGTGAATAACAATTGATCAAAATAAGACAAAAATGGTCATAAAGAACGAATAAACTTTCGCGCGATTGTGATATAAATCACTCCATCAATAGAAACAAATACTGTACGTAGTTGAAAAGCCACGGTTAAAATTATTAAAAAACCACAGGCTAACCAACTTTATTTTAAAGCGTCAATAGCGATAGCACTTTTCTCATTACCATATGAAAAATATGCAGGTTCTACATTTTGCTTTATACCGATATTTAATATGAAATTTAAAAGTACATGTAACACGATAAATAATAGACACATACGTGTATAAAGTATATAAAAGATATGGAAAGGTATTTCTTCTTGGTGTTGGAGAAAATTTTTTATTTTCATTTGCCAATCTTCAAAATTTATTCCCATATCTAAAGTTCACGCACTCTAAAGAAGTAATACAATAACAAGAAGGAAAAAATGGCAGTAATACCTTCATCAAACACATTAACACGTCGAGATGCTTCATTGTCAGACACGAAAGATAACGCAACATATATAATCCTTGGTCTAATAATCGGACTATTTCTGCTTCTTGGTATTCTCATAATAGTAGCAATAGTGAGAGCTCGTACGAAAAAGGCCACAACAACTAACACTGACACCATAGAAACCATAGAAGTTACAACACAGCAGCAACTTCATCAACAACAAGCTAAAGATTCGAAGGAAGAACAAAAATTATCAGGAGAACAAACAACAAGAGGTGAAACATCAAATAGCGGCAGGAAAGAATTAAGAACTTTCATATTAGACCAAAATCGAAATTCAAATGGCTCTACACTTGTTGGATTGTCGATTCGAGATAGTGTTACTAGCGCAGAGACAATTTTCACTAGTCCAAGAGCAAGTAGAGCGAGTTTGTAGAGTCACCGATTTCTACTAATAGTCCGATTACCACCAATCCTACGAACACTGGTACCATATCAAGTAATCCAGAAACTATTATTTCTCATACTACAGTAAATAGTTTCAATATAACTTTTTTGAAACATTATCGTTATTGTTATTGTTATGTTATAATGATCAATATTATGATACAAATGCGGATGATAAACATTCAATACTACCCCCGTTTTATCTATCGCTACGTACGTATTCATATCCGAGACTTTTCTTTGGAGAATTCTTTTTTTGTAAATATTTTTCTTATTCATTCTTTGGTGCGATTTAAATCCGACAACGATAACGATAGGACCGAAAATTTAAGCTACTCGATCATTTTTTTACTTACGATTAAAAAAGACATTTTTCTACCCTGAAAATCATGCAGTATTTGCGCATGTATGCTATCATTTGGTTCGTTACTTTCATTGGTTATTAGGATATGATTTTCTGAAAACAAATGATTTTTAGAAGTGCAAATTATAATAATAAATCTACTGCTCTAAATTTGTTTACTGGGAAAAATATCAGTGACAGCCAAAAGTTGGCCTACCAAATGTACTTAACCACAGCTCGCTTCATATTAAATCATAACTTTTGTCATCATGCAAAAGCGAGACGAATCCCAAACTTTCAATATAGTGAACCTCTCGATAGAGTGAAGAATCTTTTGTAGAAGCATAATAAACTTTCACTCAACATAGTGAAGTTATATAGTATTCTCGATATAAGCTATAGTGAAGATTTTTTTCTTTAACCCGATGTCTTCGCTATATCGAGAGTGAGTTCTATTATGAAAATTATCAAAAGTAATATAGATTTTTCGTTAAAAGAGACTACTGTGATTCAAAGAAAAATTATCGTTATAGCATGACTACAATAATACTCTATTAATAGCAATAATAATGTATCATTCGCCATACCCAACATCTCCTGCATGTCAAGCCAACATCTCCATACCAACAACTATTATCAATGCAAGTTCTACTTAATACTTTACACTAGTATTATTACTCCTTTTATTATTCAATCAGCAAAAATTTATCATCCTCGTCATCAATACTCAGTAATCCAGTTTTCACTGCGACTTTAATCAATAAATACATAACATACAAAAATAAAAATTCTTTATACTATTCTACATATTAATAATTAAATATACATGATTTACGAGTAAAATAATAAAAAAAAATATAATAAATGAAATTAGAATAGTTTCAAGGATCGCTACCAGACTTCTCTTCAACTGGCGACTGGGTTCTCTTCAACAACTGGTTATTTGCATGGCTTCTCTTCAACTGGCTTTTCTTCGGCGGGTTTCTCCTCAACTGGTGGCCCTTCTTCGGTGGGTTTCTCCTCAACTGGTGGCTTTTCTTCGGTGGGTTTCTCTTCAACTGGTGGCTTTTCTTCGACGGGTTCCTCCTCAACTGGTGGCTTTTCTTCGGTGGGTTTCTCCTCAACTGGTGGCTTTTCTTCGACGGGTTTCTCCTCAACTGGTGGCTTTTCTTCGACGGGTTTCTCTTCAACTGGTGGCTTTTCTTCGACGGGTTTCTCTTCAACTGGTGGCTTTTCTTCGGCGGGTTTCTTCTCAACTGGTGGCTTTTCTTCGGTGGGTTTCTCTTCAACTGGTGGCTTTTCTTCGGCGGGTTCCTCCTCAACTGGAGGCTTTTCTTCAGCGGGTTTCTCCTCAACTGGTGGCTTTTCTTCAGTGGGTTTCTCCTCAACTGGTTTCTCTTTTATTAATTCTTTATGTTTATCCTCCTTCTCCTTCTCCTTTTCCATTTCTTCCTTCTCCAAAATTTCTCCATCTACTGACATTACAATATTTATTGGAACATGAACATGAATTTTATCTTCTGGACACTCAGTTTGCTTAGTAGTCGGACAAGGAGTTGGTTCTGGCTTTGGAGCGGGAATTGGTCCTGGTGGACATAAACTGGCAGTAGGTTCTGGAGTTGGTGGTTCTGTTGGTTCTGGAGTAGGCTTTGGAGTTGACTCTGTTGGCTCCGGCGTTGGTTCTGTTGTTGGCTCTGTTGTTGGCTCCGGTGTTGGTTCTGTTGTTGGCTCCGGTGTTGGTTCTGTTGTTGGCCCCGGTGTTGGTTCTGTTGTTGGCCCCGGTGTTGGCTCTGTTGTTGGCTCTGTTGTTGGCTCTGGTGTAGGTTCAGGCATCGGTTCTGTTGTTGGCAATGGTTGTGGCGTTTGAACAGGTATCGGAACTATCGGCATCATTGGTAAAGGATGGAAACCACAATGCTGACAAATTGGATGCCAACCAACACAGCCACCAAATTTTTGGAAATACGACATTGGACACATTTGATTTGGCATTGGCATTACCATCGGAAACATTTGTGCTGGCTGTTGCATCGGTAATTGCGAGATTGGTTGCTTAGGTTGTTCTGGTTGTTCGCCATTTCCATTTGTACCATTGCCATCCGGTTGTTTGCCATTTCCATTTGTACCATTGCCATCCGGTTGTTTGCCATTTCCATTTGTGCCATTGCCATCCGGTTGTTTGCCATTTCCATTTGTACCATTGCCATCCGGTTGTTTGCCATTTCCACTTGTACCATTGCCATCCGGTTGTTTGCCATTTCCATTTGTACCATTGCCATCCGGTTGTTTGCCATTTCCATTTGTACCATTGCCATCCGGTTGTTTGCCATTTCCACTTGTTCCATCCTCACCATTTCCATCTGGTTGTTTGCCATTTCCATTTGTACCATTGCCACCTGGTTGTTTGCCATTGTTTTCACCACCGTTCTCATTCTCATTTTGCTGAGAAGTCATAGGCATTTGTTGAAACGGTTGCATAGGTTGTAAAGGTTGCATAGATTGCATGGAAGGAAACGAAATTCCGCGAGCCGCCAACATGTGCGTTGCTCTACATGTCGGACAATTTCCGTTACCAGCTTGCCATCCGATAATTGAAGGAACAAAAAAAATCGCGAAAATAAATAAAAGGATCGTAAGGAGAGCGGATATTTGATGAGATTGTTTTTGATGAATGCAACGCATATTCGAAAGTAAAAGGTAAAAGCGCGATTGTGTTTATTATTATTTAATTATTTATTTGAAGAGAAGAAAATATTTGCTATTGTTGAACAGTTATCCTCGCTTCATTATATATCTTTTGTTTCAATAATGCGATACAGTAAAATTTGGCTTTATCAGTCACCTGACGTGACATGCATGATTATTTTATGCGCACTTTTGTCTCGCGTATACCTTTCGCGAGATATATTAAATATTTGGCTTTATCAGTCACAAAATGCGAAATTTAACCATAATTGTTCCAAAGTCACTGTTTTATGACAGTCAGGGCTCTTATAACGATCCCTTAGTATAGCGGTTTCGGCTTTTTAAGGCTGTTCGGAAAAGAGTGTCCGAATACACTAAAGATCTCAGCTATTACAGACGCAGCATGCAATCATCGGGCTGTTACCATCCTATGAATCCAGAAGTAGCTATGGCGAACGGAAATGTTTCTCATTTCTAGATTGCCGTAACTGTTCTGGGTGTTCATTCATCATTGTTAAGGAACAGACGAAAGATATTACGAGCAGCATTATGTCACGTTCCGGAGGATCTGAAGGCAAAGTGTGTTAAAAAGAAAAGCTTGGGAATTTGCAAATAAGTGAAACTTACATATGTTCTTGCATACTGTGAGCGACCAGAATCGCGTCAGTCTATTCATCCGCTCATTACATATTGAACACACAATGCTTGTTCGGTACTCAAATTCTTTTCCTCAACTCTCGGTATAAGTCTTTGACTGGTCCAGATGCATGTCTTCGAGAGTCATTTCAAATCTTCCATATACTACTATCGCGCTTATTGGATTTTTATCAGTGATAATGCTAAATCAAAATTGCCTTTGTGTGACAACTCCTCAATGTTTTCATTAGTCTTCTTTGGTCGGCCAAGGTCTATTCAGTTCGCACACCCAAAGAGAACATGAGGGTATCAGAATCAACGAGAATGAAACACTGGTTGAAGAATATTATTTTTACCTGGTTAATCAAGATTAAATATAGCGAGAGAAAGCTAAGTCCTTGATCTTAGCAACGTCTCATGTTCTGTTATGTGGCATCTTCTCAATAAAAGTCGAATATACCACAATGGATCAAAATAATTTCATCATAAGCAGATATTTATGATACAAGTCTTTTCCTTAACTCCCTTTTCTTTGCTATTTGAGATTATGATGTTGACGGTTCGGAACCGCAGTTCCAACAGGTTTAAAAAATCACGATTCCAAACCGTTAACATCCCTATTTGAGATTTACGGAATCTGACCTGCAGAGAGGATATTTCTTCGCAGATATACACGAATATGCTCGCATGGTTCCGCTATTAAAAAAATTAATACAGAGTCCCGACTACCGAGGCTGCCTTTGTAATTAGTGTTGCTACTAGTACAAGCTACTTAAAATGTGAAACTTATTCTTAGTACACTTCCACAATCAGGTAATTCTTTATGTTTAAAAAAATTCAATTTATTGCAAAAAAGATCGATTAAATGATTGCATATTGACAAAGAAGAAACGTAACACAGAAATTTTTAAATTTGTAAGAACCATATGTGAGCAAAGGTAGCTTATTTTTATCAAAACATAACTATTCCGATTTGCGTAACAGAAATAAATCGAATAATCGTGCAAAAATTATTTTCGGAAAATCCAAGTTTGTTATCGCTATTGATACGCGAATTGCCAAATTGACATGTCTAAATATTTCTCATCTCAAAAAAATTTAATACAAAAAGTTTGAAGTCAGCTCATGAACCAGCTCACAGAACTTTAAAAGGAATTACAACTAAAAATAGTTCCACTTATGTACGTATATTGTAGTTTATCTTATAATAAATTATACCTCTATACAGTCACACCCTCGTTTTTTCCTATTATGAAGAAATTTGATTCCATACAGTCACAACCTCTTTAAAGTCTCACTTTTTAATAACAACTGAAAAATCTCCTTGTGGCATATTGAAATTTGATTGATAACACATGAGACATTGATTAATAGAAAAGGCTTAAATCGTCAAAATTGTTATGTCGTTATTGTGCAAAAAATGATTTTGCATGGGAATGGGATATATGTATCCCAAATTAGAATATAGATGACTAAGGTTAGAATAAGGGTAAGGGTTAAGGTTAAATATTGGCCGAAAGATTCTAAATTTACACCAAGTGAATTTCAAATTCATCCAGTGTTGGTACACAGAAAGTTTTTTTTGGTGAACATCTAGAGGAATTCTGGATTTCTTAATGATTCCTAGTAAACTCTTAATAATTCATTGAATTTAGGAGAAAAACATATAAATCTCGACAAAATTACTATCGTATTTCACGGCATAAAGTACCCTCTCCTATAGAAAATTTAAACCTTTTTTTTTTTTAGTAAAACCAATTACATAGTTTGTTTGTAAAATGAATAAAACAAGATTCACTACGCAATTTCTTCAAAATGTTTGTTTCAAAATTAATAGCTTCGAGTTAATTTAAGTTGGAACTGGTTAACTGGCAGTTTGACAATTAACCAGTGAATATGATTCAATAATGATTTATAATAATATTTGAGCTTAATGTTAACCAATTAACTGATAACATTAACGGTTGATTAACTAGTTAAAGAACTGTTACCACTGCACTTACCAAGATAACTTCGTCCCAAATTTTTTAAGTTTAGTCGAGAATTTTGAGAATCTTACTTAGAGGGAAAGTATTTTGGTGATGGCTCGTCTTTATTATCATCATCATTCACATCCAACACGCTAATTGTTCATATACCTAAAGGGCAAACCACACAAAGCGTCTTTCAAATTGGCAAATTTGATGGTGACAGTGGGAAAAACTCCAAAGAATTTAAAACCATTGGATGCAAGATAGAATTTTTATATTTTTAGCATATAAATTATAATATTACAATAACACAAGCATCATCTTTTGATTTGATATAGTATCAGAAATAATGCAATAATGTCAAAATTTATTAACTAAATATAGTAAAATGTGAATTTTTCTCTTTATATAAAAGTTTTAATTTTACTAATAAATATTTTTTCATTTTAATGTAAAATTAAAAAATATTTATTAGTAAAATTAAAAACTTTTATATAATGAGAAAAATACATGTTTTACTATGTTTAATTAATAAAGTTTGATATTATTACATTATTTCTAATTGTCACTGTAATATTCTTGAAAAATAATATTTTATAATTTACTAATCCAATTTAAATAAAAATATATTATTTAATTTATTTAAGAATATTTGCTAAGATTTTTTCAAAAATATTTTAACAGAATTTTAACAAAATTTTAATTATAACAAAATTTTAATTATAACAAAATTTTAATTATAACAAATTTCAAAACTTGATAAAATTTTAATAATTTATTGATTAATAATTTATTATAATTTTGATAAAGTTTTGATAATTACTAAGAAATATTCTTAAATTTATCAAGACTTAATAAATTAAATTTGTGATAATATTTTTTTGAAAAGATTATAAATCTAATTTTTTTGTAAATTTTATAATTCTTTTTTTTTTCTCTTTTCAAAATTTTATTAATTTATTTAAATAAATTTTTTTATATATAAAAGAATTCTTTGTCAAGATCTTGAAAATTTGTTTTTTATTAACTAAACAAAATTATTATTTTTTTAATATTGTTATGATATGAATATTTAGTTCTTATTTTATTGATTAATTAATATTATAAATTTAATTGGATAATATTCTATTATGTTCTATTGGTTAATTTTATATTCATATTTTATTGGATAGTTATTTTTAGATAGTGATCACTTCAAATGATCACTTTGAAT